GACTTCTGCCCACAGCTTCTCTGCATAAGGTAATCACTGGGTGAAGTCAGGAGGAGGACTCAGAAAGAAGCTCCTGGCCTGATTCAACTTCTGTACAATAATCAGATTTCATACGGATTTACCTGCTGAGCTGAATATATAGAAGTCTGGGTTCATGCCGGATTTCGAGCATTTTAGATTTTCCTATTCAAGCATGAATCCGGTCCTGGGGGATAATGGTTTCCTGGCCCCGCAGCAGCACCACCACCAGATCACTGGCCAAACTGACTTCACCATCCCAGAGCCTGGCTACTTCCTAGGAGACCGCGGCGGGTTCGGACCTGATGGGTTCACCGGGCTGGACCTTGGTGCCTTCTCGCCATCTGGGTTTGCATACCTGCACCAAGTGCCCCCAGTGGCCACAGCGCTGCGCAACGACCTAGGCTCCAACATCAGCGTCCTAAAGACCCTGAATCTGCGTTTTCGCTGCTTTTTGGCTAAAGTGCATGAGCTGGAGCGCAGGAACAAGGTGTTGGAGAAGCAGCTGCAGCAGGCTTTGGAGGGCAGCTGTGCAGGGGATGGCCATCCAAAGCCATTCACCAAAGACATGGGGGTCCAGACAGCATTTATTGGTCCTGTTCCAGGCAGACCAGGCCTCATTCCACTTCACAATGCCAACAACTCTGCCTACCTGCCCAGTGGTCTCCTCTCTCCAACCCTGAACCCTCCTCCTCTCTTTGACAACACATACCTGCTGGGGAACAGCCCCAACCCAATCACAGTCTCCATGGATTCAAACTCCAACCTCACCACGTCCGGTTTCTCCATCAGCCCGGCTCTGAGCCCCAGTGACCTGCCCAAGACCTTCACAAACATCAACGAGAAATACACAGCTCATACTGGGACAAACACCAGCAACACAGCCCCTGCTCCACCACGCTTCCTCCCAGGAACGATCTGGTCCTTCAACCATACCCGCCGGTGTAGCACTGGCAGGGAGTCATGCGTCACAGGGCCCGGGGTCTCTTGGACGCACCCGGATGGTGTCGGAGTCCAGATTGACACCATCACGCCCGAGATCAGGGCTCT